GTACATGGTGTCTAGTAATACCTTGTTTATTTACTTCTTTTTTTTTGTGTGACACTATTTTTCGGATTGCAATATTGACCCTCTGGCTGCAATTCACCAAAATCCATGTACATGAGTTTATATAATATCACTTAGTAGGTGCTATTATTTTTTGAGTTTTGCCCACTAATGGTATTGGGAGATTAATGACTGTATTGCCCTCTGACCTTTAAATTTTAGTATGAGATTTTTGCCTCCAACGTTGTTTTGTTTTTTAATTTATTAATTATTTTTTTTTTAAATTCTAATTTTGAATTTTTTTTTCTTGTATTATGTTTAAGCGTAAAGTGTCATTGGTTTTTTTAGGGGAATTTTACAGTAACGAAGGTGGTACCGTATCGTCGATTATAACTATTTAATGTTAAGTTATAATTTTTTTGAGATATAAGTTATAATTTTAAAAGTTATGATCGATCATAATAGATTGAGATTGATACCGAATTACAATTTTTAAATGTCAAATTACAACTTATTTGAGAAAAGTTACAACTGTTTAGGGAAGTTCATGATCGATCACGGTCCCCTTGAGCAGTTGTAATTTCTCTCGTATAAGTTGTAACTTTACCAAAAAAATAGTAATTGATGGTACGGTACCCACCGTACCCAAGTTGGTACCGTAGAATTCGCCACTTCTTTTATTACAAGTCTTTTTTATTACTTTTGTGATATCTTAAAAAATTATAAACATAATTATTACAACGGTAATAAAAACATTTACAAATATAATAAAAACACCTATAAATATAATAAAAACGTCTATAAATGTGATAAATTTTTTTGTGTAAAAAAAATGGTAAAAATAGTTTGCACAAATGTGATAAAAATACAAACACGGTAGTGAAAACACTCGTAAAAGTATTAAATCACTTACAAAAGTAATAAATTTTTTTGTTATAGAATAACCGACAAAAATTATAAAAACACTAATTAAAATAATAAAAATTAGAAGTACAATTCTAAATTTATTTATTCAGTATTATAGTCAAGTTCTCATAGGAGTTGTATATAGTATATAGTCTAGTACAAGGTACAAAAAAAATTTGGTCTCGTAACGAAAGTTATTATTTTTAAAAATTAAATTAAATTTTTTAAAGGTAAAATTATAATTGATTTAAGTTATTCATAATCGATCACAATAATTTATCGTTAATTGTGAATAACTCAAATTAATTGTAACCTCAATTTTAAAAATTACAAATTGACTTTTAAAACTTATAATTATTTTATGATCGATTATAACAATTTAGGATCGAACGTATCCTTTAAAATTATAACATATCCAAAAAAATTATAATTTAATTTAAAAAAATTATAATTTTCGTATGTTACATCATCCTATNTTTTGTGTAAAAAAAATGGTAAAAATAGTTTGCACAAATGTGATAAAAATACAAACAACGGTAGTGAAAACACTCATAAAAGTATTAAATCACTTACAAAAGTAATAAATTTTTTTGTTATAGAATAACCCNTTTAATGTTAGTCAAACTTCTAAAATTTAGGAGTTGTTAATTTTTAAATTTGTTTTACTTAAACATGAGTATTTTGAACAACAGAGATAAAAATGTATTTAATATTAAACAAATTTTTTAATAGACTTATTATCAAATAAATCCACATAGGAGAACCAACATTTAAATTTTCTTAATTATAAGCCTTAAAAGGAGCCAACAACCCACGAGTTGGCCTAAAACCCCAAAACCTATTAATGCATGGGCCAAATTGGTATAGGACGTGTTTATGAGGCTATCNTTATTATTTTTAAAAATTAAATTAAATTTTTTAAAGGTAAAATTATAATTGATTTAAGTTATTCATAATCGATCACAATAGTTTATCGTTGATTGTGAATAACTCAAATTAATTGTAACCTCAATTTTAAAAATTATAAATTGACTTTTAAAACTTATAATTATTTTATGATCGATTATAACAATTTAGGATCGAACGTGTCCTTTAAAATTATAACATATCCAAAAAAATTATAATTTAATTTAAAAAAATTATAATTTTCGTATGTTACATCATCCTAGNCTAGTAATACCTTGTTTATTTACTTCTTTTTTTTTGTGTGACACTATTTTTCGGATTGCAATATTGACCCTCTAGCTACAATTCACCAAAATCCATGTACATGAGTTTATATAATATCACTTAGTATGTGCTATTATTTTTTGAGTTTTGCCCACTAATGGTATTGGGAAGATTAATGACTGTATTGCTCTCTGACCTTTAAATTTTAGTATGAGATTTTTGCCTCCAACGTTGTTTTGTTTTTTAATTTATTAATTATTTTTTTTAAAATTCTAATTTTGAATTTTTTTTCTTGTATTATGTTTAAGCGTAAAGTGTCATTGGTTTTTTTAGGGGAATTTTACAGTAACGAAGGTGGTACTGTATCGTTGATTATAACTATTTAATGTTAAGTTATAATTTTTTTGAGGTATAAGTTATAATTTTAAAAGTTATGATCGATCATAATAGATTAAGATTGATACCGAATTACAATTTTTAAAGGTTAAATTACAACTTATAAGAGAAAAGTTACAACTGTTTAGGGAAGTTCATGATCGATCACGATCCCCTTGAGCAGTTGTAACTTCTCTCATATAAGTTGTAACTTTACTGAAAAAATAGTAATTGATGNGATATTCATAAGAGATAAATCCTCTTATAATTTAGGTGTGTTTAAATTTTAGATTACCCGAATATTCTGACTTTACCTTACCTTATTGATCGGCTATCATAAAAAATTAGGTAGGCCAATGGAAGAAATTTTAATATTTCACAAAAATCGGATATGAATGTGAAATAATCATAAAAATTTTGTCTTCCTACCTGATTCTAACCGCATATATATGTGTGTGTGTGCGCGTGTATGTTAAATTTTTAACATTATTAATATGTGCAAAAACTACAAACTAGAAACACTGTTAATGTGTTAAATTATTAACATTTTTAGTATTATTGTGTTGGTTAATTGGTGCAAATTATTTAATTGAATTGTGAAAATAATTTAAAATTTAATAATTAAAATATATTATTAGGTGTAACATTTTGGGAGTAAATATCTAGGGCCCCATTTTGGGAGTAAATATTAGGTGTAACATTTACACCATGTAAGTATTATTATTTGGGNTAATTATGATACTTTTGATTTGCTAGAGCTTATGAGTGATCTCACCCATCCTCCTTTTTTTTTTGGCACTTCCACTAATTTTTCTTTATTTAGCCGAAAACAGATCAATTACGTCAGAATTAAGATATTCATAAGAGATAAATCCTCTTATAATTTAGGTGTGTTTAAATTTTAGATTACCCGAATATTCTGACTTTACCTTACCTTATTGATCGGCTATCATAAAAAATTAGGTAGGCCAATGGAAGAAATTTTAATATTTCGCAAAAATCGGATATGAATGTGAAATAATCATAAAAATTTTGTCTTCCTACCTGATTCTAACCGCATATATATGTGTGTGTGTGTGCGCGTGTATGTTAAATTTTTAACATTATTAATATGTGCAAAAACTACAAACTAGAAACACTGTTAATGTGTTAAATTTTTAACATTTTTAGTATTATTGTGTTGGTTAATTGATGCAAGTTATTTAATTGAATTGTGAAAATAATTTAAAAATTAATAATTAAAATATATTATTAGGTGTAACATTTTGGGAGTAAATATCTAGGGCCCATTTTGGGAGTAAATATTAGGTGTAACATTTACACCATGTAAGCATTATTATTTGGTGTAATCGTCCAATAAGAAAATGAAAAATTAAATAAAATAGAACCCATAACTTTATATAGAGGTGGTTATATATTACATAAACTTTAGTTATATTTTTTTTATGTTATTTGTACTAGTAACCAATTTATGGATGAGTACTTTTGGAATAGTAGGTTTGGTCCCGAACCTCTGTGTCTATGACTTTGTTTTTCAAGAAATTCGTGTAGCGAAAGATTTTTAATTTTGAATGGTTATTTAATTTTTTGGGACTCGCTTACTTATTTATTTACTTATTAGTGAATTATTAAATCACGTAACAATGTTAATATAATGTAACCATTACATATAATATTTTCTATCATTATGGGTGGGGCCTGGCATGTAATATATATGAGCATTTTATCTATATCTTCAATTACAAGCATCCTTGATGAAACAAGGCTAGGATATGACCCCATGTGACTACTTTTCCATTATTAATCTTGTCTTTCTTTATGCCTGCTGCTCTTGCCGATCACGTGATTGAAATCCGTGACCTAACATGGGCACATTGTGGCTGTACAAGCCATGATAGAAGAGACATTCCAAACTGGTGTAAAAAGAAAATTTTAGTCCACGAGATTTTCGTCGTTATACGATGTAAAGAAATAAAAAGAGTATATAATTTTAGTCTTGCTGCTTGAAAAATTATTTTTAGGATTGAAACTCTTGATATTTTAGTCATAATAGATCAATCTTAGTGTTACGCTAAGGACGCAACTTTATCTCCGAGCAAAATTACATGACTTAATTAGAGAAAAATTGCACCATAACATGCAATTGACAACCCACACCGTAAGGGGTTGGACTTGAGGCAATCCTGTAAATTTGTGCCTCTAGAGTTGATAGTTCCCGAACCCGAACCCAAACCCCAAACCCGTATTTTATNGAAAAATTGCACCATAACATGCAATTGACAACCCACACCGTAAGGGGTTGGACTTGAGGCAATCCTGTAAATTTGTGCCTCTAGAGTTGATAGTTCCCGAACCCGAACCCAAACCCGTATTTTAATTGGATGGATGAACACTCGCAACTACATAATTATTCACTGCCTAAAAGCTATAACATAACACCTGCATCTTCCTAGCCAAACCACTTACAAAATCTCAGAACCAGTAAAAGATAAACAAACAGTATCACAGGGGGGTGAATACCAAAAGAAAACTAAGAATTTCCACATACCTGTCTTTGATTTTGTATGCAAAAGAAAACCATCATTTCAGATACATTACTTCCGTATTGCATTTACAAAAGAATGCACATAATAACATCAACAACCATTATGCTATGAAAAGTAATTTACAAGCAACACTTGATTATTCATTCCAACAGCCTTTTGTTTTGGACTAACAGATGATTCCTATTTTGTATGTGTTTTAGCAGTTGTATGGATCAAAACTTCAGGCTCAAGCATGAGAATATATCTAACCAAATGTAAAAATATTTGTGTAATTCGCGCTGTCATCTTCGTTATCTTTCCGTGTCTGAAACTTTTAGAAACTATGTAATTTGTTCTTCTTTAAACCGCAGAAGAGCCACACGCTGTTGCTCGTGGTTCCCAAATTCTGTTCTTTTGAACAATGCATGTCTATCAGTTACAGCATTGTGTGGGTTCGACTCTGACACAGAATTGTTAGCTGTGTTGTGGCTGCTATTTCTAGCTGCTGGTACGTCATGAGTATGTTTTCCCTCGTATGTTGTCACGACAGCCTTAGGGTCACTCGCAGCTCTCTCGACATGCTTTCGTACATTGCATCCAGGGCTTGTGCACTTGTAATAGCTCCTGCAAAGCACCAAGAGGCTTAAGGATTGATACTAACCATGGACAGGATGAAGAGCAAGCAAATCATTCATTACTGCACAAAACCATTAAAGCAAAATACCAAATGGATAGAAAACACAAATGGCATCCACATGATATGCATTATTTAGCGTGAAGCAGCTCTTGCATTAGTAGCAGTACGGAGGTGAAGTTACTTTCTATGTGGGTGAGTGGGGTAGGTGTGTTTTTTTTTTTTTTTTTTTTTTTTTTTTTTTTTTTTTTTTATNAGGGGGGGGGGGGGTTTTTTTTTTTTTTTTGGGGGGGGGGGTTGTGTCAGACACAGAGAGAGAGAGAGAGATCCATGATGGGGCTTAATCAAGGATTATTGTGCTTTTCAACCTGATTTTTCTGTTGTGATAATGATCACTTACATGTTGTTGACATTTGCTAAATATTCAAATTAGATATACTTTATTTCTACAATGTTACGTTTCTGTCACGACATTCCTATAATATTGTTGGACAAACAACCNGAGAGAGATCCATGATGGGGCTTAATCAAGGATTATTGTGCTTTTCAACCTGATTTTCTGTTGTGATAATGATCACTTACATGTTGTTGACATTTGCTAAATATTCAAATTAGATATACTTTATTTCTACAATGATATGTTTCTGTCACGACATTCTTATAATATTGTTGGATGAACAACGGGGAGCCAAAACATGAAAACAACAGCCTGCTTTCGTAGATAATTACAACTGCATCTAAGGCCATCAACAAAAATGCAACTTTCAACAGTTAAACAAAGACTTTGAAAACAGGTTTAGGGTGGGTGCAAACAGCAATGAAAATTGAGAGTAGGCAAAAATCCTCTATGGAGTTGAGGGGTGAAACAAAACTTTGTTTAAAGGAAGACTACAATAGAACACGGAAATGTTAATACCAATTAAGGACATCCATTCAAAAGGATTTTCCGATTGTGGCCAAAGTGAACCCATAGAATGGTCTTGCATTGAATGCGGCATATGAATCTTGTGGTTCAGTGGGTAGTTGGTTACAAAACCTACCGTGCAGCATAAATAAGTATACCATATCCTTTGAGTCCCCTAAAATGTTGCTAGCACCACGCATTTATTTATAAATTATAATGATACATGCACCAGCAAAAAGAGTGTTACCTTGGATAAGGATTTCCTTTAACAACCTTCTGGCCATACTTGCGCCACCTATAGCCATCATCTAAAAGATCGACTTCACTGGTTGTTTGAACAATGATCCTTGGTTCTGTAACCGTACGGTGGGATGAAGTTTGTTCGGAAACACTGACCTCTGTGTTCCTGCACAACATCATACACAAGGATAACAATCTTAATAACCTGATAAATTAAAACCACCAATACAAAATCCCTCATGATTAGGTAAAAAAGGAAACCTTCTCTTTAATTCAGGTTCGTCTTCATCCCTTCCATCTACTCTGGTCTCAGCATCAACACCTTCCTCACTGTCACTTGATCCAGACAATTGTTCAGGTGCAGTTTGGCTAGATTCCAGATCCTTCATTGAAAGTGAACCAGTAGGCACCATTTTGTTCAAATTTCCAGTCTGACCTTCGGAACCCAGATCAGAGTAACCCTGAAGTTTTGAGGTTCCATTTGGATTTCCAGCATCTTTGGCACGCTTATTGGATTGAGGTGGTGGATGATTGTGCTGCCCCTTATAGATAATCTCAGTTACCTGTCCCTCAAGAGAGCGTTCAACCTTCTTCTTGACTGGACACTTTGGATGAGTACATTTGTAATAACTTCGAGGATATTCACTGCCCTTCACCTGCTTCTGCCCATATTTCCGCCAATTGTACCCATCATCAGCAGGTTTGTCCACAGCAAAGGAAGAAGGTTGGGTTCTCTGATCAGAATGAGAGTAATCTGATGAATCTTTCATAACATTAGGCTCTTGCATGGGTGGTGACAACTGCTGGTGTGTGGTTGTATTGTTGGTAAAGGATGGAGTCTGTCGTATAGATGCAGCAGGAGGTGCTGATAAGGGTGGGTATTCCGGACCAATATGACTTTGGGCTTGAGCTTGCACAGCCTGAGCCGTAACCTGAGCAAGTGCCTGCTGGTGGGACAATCCAAAGGAGCCCTACACATCCCACAAATGACAAAATAACTGTAAAAACAAGTATGAAATCTGAAATTATCAACACTAAACTAAGTATTGAGAAAATTGAGTCAGTATTCAGCATCATCAGTGTAGATGCGGCCATTATCCTTATCATTTAAGTTCGTGTGAAAAAATCAACTCACCACTGAAGTATTGGTGCTTTCACTGTTTTTCAGACAAGGCAGAGAAATGAATCAGTTCTGTAAGGAACTTTAACCACTAAATACAGTAAATCCGTAGGAATTATTTAAGGGATTAACCATCACAAAAAAAGCCCTCTAATTGTCACATATATGCGCAACACAAAACCAACTCAAGATCCAGAATGACAATCTGTCAAGCTCACCAAACAGGCACAACTTATATTCCTCAAGAAATATACATTAAATTGTATCAGATTGTATGATATTGTTTATAAAGGGATAAACTCAAAAGGAATGATTTGTACAGAGTCATTCTACAAAGGTTAAGGCAACGACTGCCAACTGACAATCACAAGTTCATCTCAAATAACTAGTTTATCCCAACAACTAATGTATATCAAACAACTCCACTAAATTTTTCAAAGATGACTTAGCTCCCAACTGACAAAATGGAGATACTCTTCTCATCGTAATAGGTTGGAAATGAAGTTATCTTGAATAGAAATTGCAGAAATCACAATCAGGAACACAGAATTTTTTTGACATCCAAATAGCACCTATCATGCATCAGATAGAGGTATGGCTAGAGATCCCAATTTGCATTAGACAATATAGGACTATGAGCAGGAGTCGGAGAACAACATTCTTAATCCTTTACCACCTTGGGTCAAAGGGCTGACAGTCTGACGTCAAGAGTTTTTAGAAGTGGGGTTCATGGGGTGAGTCATTATGTAATCTGCTCAATGGTCAAAGAGAATCTTTCTTCTCTTGAAATTTGGGGCGANAAAGGGCTGACATTCTGACGTCAAGAGTTTTTAGAAGTGGGGTTCATGGGGTGAGTCATTATGTAATCTGCTCAATGGTCAAAGAGAATCTTTCTTCTCTTGAAATTTACCTGGGGAAAGATATTGATGATTGATGATCTGGAAACTATTGATACAGTGAGAAATCTTAACACCACAAAGATGCAGCATGTATATGAAAGCAAAGGGAATCATAAACATCATTATTATTCTAGCTAGCGCCCAGGGATTTTTGGTTTTTCTTATGTCCTTATTCAGTGATCACTAATTAATGCAAGTGAAACTCCCCAAAATAGGAAATTTAAATATAAGAATTCCATTAACTAGTGAAAAGAGCACTCAATTACAATTTGGCTTTACCTGAATTTTAATTTTTTTGTAAGCCAAAAGAACAGAAACATTCAGATCTTTACTTTATTTCTTTTTCTAGCATTCAATGGCAATCCAACAAAGGATTAAGGTGATATTTGAGCACATTCTATACCGTAGAACATTACCGGTCTAATAGTTGTCTTATAAAACTTACCTTTCAACCTAAGGGATATACAACAGCTAAACCTATAAATGTTAAAATTTTCAGATAATTACAAATGAACAAAAGGAATTGAGCTACCAAGGCTGTTCTGAGCATTTCACTTAAATTAGAAGACCNGATAATTACAAATGAACAAAAGGAATTGAGCTACCAAGGCTGTTCTGAGCATTTCCCTTAAATTAGAAGACCATGGAATGATAAGGTGTGACAACCTCAACAAGAAGAACTTGATCTCACTAAATAGGGAGGGTATATCTCACTATAATATGGTCATTTTGANATATCTCACTAAAGTATGGTCATTCTGTACGAGTTACAGTCATGTATTCCATCTAACTGTATGAAGCAGTATATCACCCAATGCAAATTACAAAAAACAGTATCAACAAGAAGAAGTTTCAGACAAGGACTAAATGAGTAAAGCATGATATCTGAATTCAAACCCTCAATATCACGACAAAAATAAAACAAATAAAAAAAATCCTCAACATGACTGAAGAGGTGTGCCCAGGAAGATTTCAAAAATTCTTGCTCGGCATATTCTCCTACTTGTTATTTTGGGGTTATAGAAACAGATGAACAGCCTACCCTTTAAAGCTCTACAATTATATGAAGCTATCTACTAAAATAGAAATGCCTCTGCCTATAAGAAATATTCTTATCCCGCATACATGATTCACCACACATGAGCAGTGCACCAGGCAAGTCAAGAACGAATTATTTTGATAATTCAACGGATTGGTAAGACTTTGATCATATGACCGCCCCCTTTCAGCCTTGCTACTTACAAGTTACAAGTCATTATAGCAGAACTCCAAGTGCACTTGAAAGGACTCCTGCTACCCGGTTGTAGTTCAATTTCCTAAAATTGTCACTTACGAGACAAGCTAGAAACTATCAACTAAACCAATAATTATTAAAGCAGGCAAAATTCTACTTTCCCAATTAAATTCTCAAACTAATTGAACAGTGCAATGTAAACTCCAACTCCACTCTGTTTTCCTCCTTGGAATGAAGAAACATGCTCAAATCTGTTCTCGAATGTTCTGCCTGTCGAAAAAAACCTAATAGCAAAACATTCATATGCATACTCTTATTTAACTTGAAAAATCCAAGGAAAAAACCATGGAAACATAGCTATGAAAGCTTGAATACCTGACCAGGGGGAAAAAGCCCTGGTGAATCGAGCAACGTAGCAGGACTCAAACCCGGAGGTACGGTAAATACTGGCGGCTGCGCGACCACCAAGCCGGACGGCCGACTATACTTAAACCGAAAATCCACCTCACCACCAGCAGCGACCTTATCCTTCATTGAAGAACCCTCCGCCGCTGACACCACCGGAAAGCTAGGTCTCTGAGCTGGAGTAGCCACTGGAGAGGACATAGCTCCAGCAAGCAGCTGCGAGAACGAGCGGCAGTCCGTGTCCGGATCGTTGTCGGAGAAAAAGTTGGATACCAAAGTCATCGGTCCTGGACTCACCCCTAACCCACCGGTGAAAAGACTTTCCATTGAAGTTCGTGGTGGTAGAGCGATCGTTGGGCGTAAAGAAGCCGACGAAACTCTCGATGATGATGGCCATCGCCCTTCCTTCTCAGCCATTGATTTTGATGACTTTGACTTCAAGAACTCTCCAAATCAAAGTTCTCCACCATTACGAAACACCTCTCTCTCTCTNCGTTGGGCGTAAAGAAGCCGACGAAACTCTCGATGATGATGGCCATCGCCCTTCCTTCTCAGCCATTGATTTTGATGACTTTGACTTCAAGAACTCTCCAAATCAAAGTTCTCCACCATTACGAAACACCTCTCTCTGAAAGTCGTCTCGCTCTCTCTGTCTCTCCACGAAGCAGGTGTGAAAATGGAGTTCGTCATGTTTTTCGTGTTATTATTTCTAAATTTTAAAATGAGAATAAAATGTGAGATGAGGGGATATGTGAAATGACGGTAATGGGCGCAACGACTTCTGGAATTACGGGAAAGCCATTGGCCATTGGAATCTAAAACAGTCGGCATTCGGCAACTAAGATACTGCTGGCCACGATGGTTGGCAGTCGGCCTTTAAAATATGTTTAGTTGCAATACCGGTGGCCTGGCGCTGGAGGAGCCGTGAGAATTCTTATTAACAGGACGTGGACGGCTTGCCAGTTACAAGTCAACACATGGCACTGTATTGCCAACAAATGAGTCTCTTGAGCTGAAAAAAATATTCATGATAATTATAATATTCCCTTAGTATTATCAGGTGATATAGTCGATTAATGAAATAAACCCTACATAATTCAATAACTACCGACCATATAAGCAGATAATTATTCACGCTTCTTCTATTTAAATTAATAATTACACAAGTAAGATTCACTTTATCCATTTAAAATTAGTTAATTATACAATGTCATCAATTCTGACACTATATCACTGTTGTATTGATTATTATCTGCCAGAGTTGACGTAGTCTAAGACCATGCCAGATAATAATAATAATTATTATTATTGTTGTTGTTAGCGGGTTAAAATCCATATGATGCCCGATATTTTTATAATTTATATATTTTTTTATGGTAATTTTATTTTGTATTCTCAAATATTTTAAAATTTTTATTTTATATTCTCAAAAATTAAATTTTTCACATTACACTTAATGTATCCAAAATATTACAATATGGCCTTTCTGTGTACTTTCTGTCGGTTTTTACATCACTATAAATTAGTATAATTGTGAACCATTAGCCTTCTGTAAATGTCATGTTAAGCTGGCACTATTTCTCACGTCTCTTGCAATCCTATGTGAACTGGATTGAATACTGATGTTTTTGGAGTTTATGGCCGTCCTCCAGTAGAGCTTAATGCCGTACTCAAAAAGCTTAGATAGGGTTGTTAATTCTCAACATCATTCATCAACTCGACTCGATATTAATAAATAAATATAAATATGAATTTGATTAAACATGAAATAAATCCCATTAAACACAAAATTTATACAACTTGGTTTAATTATACACAATAATAAATAAATTGAATATAAATTAAATAAATATCAAATCGACACAACTTAAAGACATGACATGTTATAACCCATTGGCTACTTCAATTATTGAGGCNCAACTCGACTCGATATTAATAAATAAATATAAATATGAATTTGATTAAACATGAAATGAATCCCATTAAACACAAAATTTATACAACTTGGTTTAATTATACACAATAATAAATAAATTAAATATAAATTAAATAAATATCAAATCGACACGACTTAAAGACATGACATGTTATAACCCATTGGCTACTTCAATTATTGAGGCTGAATTTTAATAATCAATTGGGATGACTGCTATTTTCGGCATAACAGCTGTCCTCAAGTTGGGAGCTGGTACGTGGTGAAACCATTGGAAAACATAAATGGACAAGCTTAATACATCATAATATTTTCTGTTCTATTATTTACTGGTTAGTAAATAGATGATACCAGGGCTAACTGTTTACCAAATGACCACCGTCCCTTCGNACCATTGGAAAACATAAATGGACAAGCTTAATACATCATAATATTTTCTGTTCTATTATTTATTGGTTAGTAAATAGATGATACCAGGGCTAACAGTTTACCAAATGACCACCGTCCCTTCGATCTACGGAAATAGCACAATGTGCTACTTAATTTTAGTGATACTGTAATGCCGGATTGTCGTTTTGAATTAATAGTTATAGTTCAAACTGAGTATTCCAATGTAGAACCGTCATAATCATGCCTAGAAAGGAGTTACTATCTACTAATCGTCCCTCCCTTAACCCAAAAAATAGAAAAATAGAAAAATAAAATNGGATTGTCGTTTTGAATTAATAGTTATAGTTCAAACTGAGTATTCCAATGTAGAACCCTCATAATCATGCCTAGAAAGGAGTTACTATCTACTAATCGTCCCTCCCTTAACCCAAAAAATAAAAAAACAAAAAAATAAAAAAGACCAATCAATAAATGAAACATACAGGCCACCATGAACACTTTTAAGGGACATACCTGAGCATGAACATTAAGGGCAACATACCAGAAGACTGGGTGGGCTGAACACTCACATTTCTCGAGGCAGAAGGAATGGTTGCAAAACGATCTATAATCGAACCAATTCATTAGGTTATAAGAAGTAAAAAATTGCAACAACGCAGCAGCCAAATGTGCACAAGTGTATACAATTCACAGGGAATTAACTTCAACCACATTTAACAAGATCATGCCCACGAGTAAATCAAGAGAACAAAATTATCGATAAAACGGAAAAAGAAAAAAACATTCCACAAGGAGGGAGGCAATATCGCACCAAGAATCAATTTGGAGAAAAGTTTCTCGAATGGTGACCCCCCCGGATCCTTGACATATAAAACACCTTCATAATTTGGATCCTTGACATATAAAACACCTTCATAATTTAACGTCTCATTCGAAATTTTGAGGCCTTGCGCGTTGTCTGAAACAGAATAAATTTACTTTGGACCAATATCCTTGAGGGCACAGATCTGCTCCTCCCCCATGGCAGACATAACACTCACAACCAGGTCTTTTCCCTCGGCAAATCCATCCTTGATCTGCATATATTTGTGAATTATTGTTAGTATTACATAAATAACAAAATGTTTGCTTTAAATATTCGGTTTACACTTTAAATACAAGAATTTGCAACAAGACACCATGTGGTGGTGCCCTACGCTTTCAAATCCAAACTGATCACCAAAAACAATCTCCCCGCTTAATCCCTGATGAAGCAAGCTATTGGTTTGACTAGCATGATCAAATACAAGTCCATGTATCCTGAACAATGTGTTTAACCTCGACTATAGTGTACTCACAAGTCCATCTTAACACTCTTCCACCAAAATGTAACACCAGGCTACTTTTCATTTCACATCTAATGTGCATAATCGACAACCTGAAGTTCTCCAAAGGAAGGGGTAACAAGAAAAACCCAATATGCACTGGAAGAAAATCTCAACCTGATAATTCTTTAAGAATAAGTACCCATTCCAAACATATAATTCATCGGGTGCAGGAAAAAAAAACAAATGACTTTTATCGATATAGTAAAAACTCAATAACAATTGGAAGTAATCACCGAACGTATTAAATTTGGAAGGGGACAAGTTGGTGTCACATCTTGTGTGCTTTCAACTTTCTAGAGCCACAAATTATCATAGTTCAAAAAATTGGTGAATATCGATACAGCTTGGCCAAGCCATAACCGATTTGTCACCATATAAAGCACAAAGCTCACTTGAGTCCTTGACTCATGGCTGAATTGCATACAACTCGATTGAATTGGGCAAGTCATAGTTGTCATGATGCCTCAATATGACTTAAATCTCTCTTCAAGTCCATCTTCTTCAAACTAGTATTTCGTGTGCATCACCCAACATCGTGTCCCAACTCCACGACCCATGCATCTCAATACCCTCCTAGTGAATGGTTGATATTGCAATCTTGAACCATGCAAACGAGAACCAATAGATGCTGAAATCATAGTAACTGCCTAACTGGTGTGACAACTACTCGGCCACACGAGAGCAAGGATTAATGCATAGAAAATAGCAGTTGGCATGCTTTTCTAATGGCAAAATTACAGATTTTTGTAAAAAGAAAGTCATGTGTAAGCAACACAAAAGTTGGATCCTAATAAATGCCTTGACCCCAAAATACTGCTCAAGGCCAATATAGAATTTGAAGCCGTGGTCTGCCAATATGTGTATGTAATCAGATATATAAAAATCATATTCACTAACCTGTGTAAGCAGACTTTCATCGGTTGGAAGCTTCAGGTCATCCTTGGTATTGCCATTGTCAGTCAGCAGGCTCACCTACAACATTTTCAGAGTATTAGACTATATCCACCAAAGGGAAAGGAGCAATCAACAAGAGAAAAGGCAAGTATAACATACAAATCCATCCTCAGATATATCAATCAGCTGGTAGTCAGTACGGTTGACATGGGGAACCTGTATTTCAGGGACACAAAACAATTATTGACAAGGAAAAAGAATAAATGCTGACACAAAAAAAAAAACTTGCTCATGAAAATAGAAGTCCATACATCACAGTTGTGGGAAGAGGGAACAATATCTTCGAGCTTCTTTCCATTGAAGATATCAATTCCAACAAAGTGACATTTGGCATGACCGTGCTTGCCAGTCTTGGAAGTTGAGACCTCCACAACCTGTAATAGACACACATTTAGCAGCTTAACAGAGATGATGATACAACTAGGAAACCAAGACTAAGAGGCATCTTGTTTGCACAAGTAGAAGAAAGATTACATGCACTAGAAGATACGAAAGGATCAAAGAAGTTAAAAGGATTATCATACGGGCTCATAGTTTTAAGCCTCAATAGCTAAGAAAATGACTTATTAGATAAATGTTTGGCAAAACTATGCAATGTGCAAAACAGTCCAGAGTCCAACCATCCACGGGATTTAATAACCTCACTCTTGCCACATAGATTATCTTTAATCCAAACATTAAACCAAGAAATACATTCTGTTAACATTGATAAGAAATAGACAAGCAAAGGATTCATAGCTAGTTGTTATATCATACATATAAAAAGGGAGAATATTAACAAAATCCTGGTTGTGATTGTATGTATAATTTAACGTTGACAACGCATAATTTCTTCACTGGAGTTATGGGACTTCCTACAGAATGTACAGTTGATATATATATCTTCATGAAAAATATCAGGTAAATTTCTTGTGGTTATTCACAGTATAGTTTAACTCCCAACCTCGGACAACCAAGCCAACAATTAGCTTATCAATAAGAAAAAAAAAATCAAACATTGTAATTACAATAGATATCGAAACGTAGATCATAACTAAAGTCAAAACATATACCTAACAAAATAAGAACTTTAGGCACTCCAAGATCCTAAATTTGAAAAAAAAAATTACAGAAAAAAGTAACTGACATAGCATCCCACAGCTCACACACTGGTAAATTAGCAAAAAAAAAAAAATCGTAAAAATTAAATAAAAAACATATTTTCTATCCAGCGAGAGAGAAATAAAGCACAACATCAGATATATCAAACTTTGAAGATCCAATCACGTATAATCGAAGAATAAATAAAAGCCCCTGGCATCATAATTCATACAGCAAAATAGCCAACAAATCAGATCTACTTAGTTAAGCATGCCTATTAAAAATCAGATTGAAAAAGGAAAGAAGAGACAGTACCTTGCAAGCTCTGGCTTTGATGACAATGTAACCATTCTTGCGGATAGTACCAGCCTGCTGTGGAAAGGTCTTGGAAGCTCCGGCGTCGGCCTTCGACTCGAAGTGGTGCTCTTCGTCCGACATGGTGTTAGCTGAAGAGAGAGAAAGAGGCGACCTTCAACACTAGAGGGAGAGAGACAGAGACAAACACCTAAGATGAAAATATCAAAAGCAGAGGCAGTGTGCGAGAGGGAGACGAGCGGTGTGCGAAATTATATATAGGGATTGTAGGAATTTGGGACATTAGGGTTTTATGCAAATCGGGATATAAATGGTTTGAAGTCCGTGTTAAATTTCAGCCGTCCGATGCATGGAATGATCAAGCCGCCAATTGTGACAAATAAATGTTTGGGAGAATTACATAAGTTTATTATTTAATCACTTTGATTCCTTTACATTTGAAATACTACATATAGATCCCGTAAGTTTTGTACATACGTATCACTTAGACCTCTGTTATAAATTTATTCATTAATAAATTATACCTAGACCGTNAGCCGCCAATTGTGACAAATAAATGTTTGGGAGAATTACATAAGTTTATTATTTAATCACTTTGATTCTTTTACATTTGAAATACTACATATAGATCCCGTAAGTTTTGTACACACGTATCACTTAGACCTTTGTTGTAAATTTATTAATTAATAAATTATACCTAGACCGCCTTGAAGTTTGTATGCATATAATACTTAGACTTTCTTAAATTTAATATGTTATATTTAGATCAAAAATATTTCAATTAAAAATAGAATATAAAATATTTTAAATTTTATAATCAAAATTCATATTTTATTCTATCATTTATTAAAATAAAATAAAAAATAAAAATTCAACTTTTTCNCTTGAAGTTTGTATGCATATAATACTTAGACTTTCTTAAATTTAATATGTTATATTTAGATCAAAAATATTTCAATTAAAAATAGAATATAAAATATTTTAAATTTTACAATCAAAATTTATATTTTATTCTATCATTTATTAAAATAAAATCAAAAATAAAAATTCAAATTTTTCTTAAAAAATTATAATTAGTATATAATTATACTATCTATTGGAATAAAACTAAAAAATCAAACAAGGGGTGTAAAACTCGGGAAAAATTTAAACTTTTTCAAAAAAAGGGTAATATGATAATTTGTCACTATATTGCGGGTTTAAAATCCATATTTTTCTAGAGCTCGGATGACGTAACGGACCTCACCGTTGGATTCGTATCGCGAAATCAAGTTGTCCNCTATTGGAATAAAACTAAAAAATCAAACAAGGGGTGTAAAACTCGGGAAAAATTTAAACTTTTTCAAAAAAAGGGCAATATGGTAATTTGTCACTATATTGCGGGTTTAAAATCCATATTTTTCTAGAGTTCGGATGACGTAACGGACCTCACCGTTGGATTCGTATCGCGAAATCAAGTTGTCCTGTCAATTTTCGTCAAATTTCGAGATAGCCAGATTTTACACGTTTCATGAAATAATTGGGTGACGAATGATCTCACGAATGTCCCCAAAAATGAAAATTATAAAATTTTCTTATAATTGAATAAAAGTTCAAATAAAATCAATTTGAACTGAAACCGAAATTTAATTAAGTCATTTCGGTTAAAAAAACAGACCCGAAAGTACTAAACGTGTTNAATAATTGGGTGACGAATGATCTCACGAATGTCCCCAAAAATGAAAATTATAAAATTTTCTTATAATTGAATAAAAGTTCAAATAAAATCAATTTGAACTGAAACCGAAATTTAATTAAGTCATTTCGGTTAAAAAACACAGACCCAAAAGTACTAAACGTGCTTGACAATGTGGACCGCGCAATTAAAAAGTATAAATAGGGGTTAATATCTGAAAAATCAGATATTTTCTCACCTTTGGCGGGCTGAGTTCAGACATTGAAGAGATAAAATAGAGGAAATTCATTTTCTACGTTTCTTTCTCCGATTCAAGGAGTTTCGTCAGTTGGAATTGCTTCAACCAAGAATTAAAGTTGGTCTACGCGATGAGGGCTACGCGTACGTACCAAAAATGAAGAATTTCACTGAAGATCTNAAATAGAGGAAATTCATTTTCTACGTTTCTTTCTCCGATTCAAGGAGTTTCGTCAGTCGGAATTGCTTCAACCAAGAATTAAAGTTGGTCTACGCGATGAGGGCTACGCGTACGTACCAAAAACGAAGAATTTCACTGAAGATCCAGGAGGAGAATTTTAGAAAAATCAAAGGTTTGGGGCTTGGGAGTTGTTCTTAAGGTTTTCTCCCTTCATTTTACGCTCCAAGAGGTACGGTTTCTCCTACTTTGATTTACTTTCTTACCTAAGACGTATTATGAATGGGATAAGGANCCAAAAACGAAGAATTTCACTGAAGATCCAGGAGGAGAATTTTAGAAAAATCAAAGGTTTGGGGCTTGGGAGTTGTTCTTAAGGTTTTCTCCCTTCATTTTACACTCCAAGAGGTACGATTTCTCCTACTTTGATTTACTTTCTTACCTAAGACGTATTATGAATGGGATAAGGATATAGAATAACCTAGGTCACTTGACTATGGTTATGGAAATGAGAAAAATGGGTATGGAATTTGGCCTAGACCAATTCCTAGTTATGTTGGCATAGAAAATTTTTTGTGTGATTTTCTTGGAACTTAATATGTTTGGCATGCTACATATTTTATATTATGCCNATTATGAATGGGATAAGGATATAGAATAACCTAGGTCACTTGACTATGGTTATGGAAATGAGAAAAATGGGTATGGAATTTGGCCTAGACCAATTCCTAGTTATGTTGGCATAGAAAATTTCTTGTGTGATTTTCTTGGAACTTAATATGTTTGGCATGCTACATATTTTATATTATGCCTTGTTAATGAGGTGAAAATTCTTGTGTGATAACATGAATTGTGCCTTAAGGTATTTTGCTACTTGCCTAAGTGGAAATGAAGTTGTTATAGTATGGATTATATATAACAAGGTTGTGAAATTTGTTGAGGATGAATGAATTGCTATATATTGTTAATATATATTAGCATCATATTGATTTATGGTAATTATATGCAATTGCTATAGATTGTCATGACATATGTGAGATATGTGATTAAATTGCTCAATTGACACTCATTACATGTATAGCATAACATGGATATTGCAATGGTACACTACATTGCATGTGCACAGGGGAAACACATCCATAAGCATGAGTGTGGGAGTGTGGGTGCATGGTTGAATCAAATACCATATTTGGTGATTGATGAGTGGGGTCGGTAAAGTTCAACTGAAGATCCGACTCCCTCGTTTGTATATGAGCCCATGAAGTGTGTAGTTGTACGCGGAACCATTGGTGGAAGTCAATGAATTTCATGTCGATCGGTGCTGTTGGTGTAAGTCCATAAATATCCACCCCAAATAAAGATCCGGAGATTTTAAATAGTCGTTTAGAGGATAATATAAATGGCGGGAGTTAGAAGGGCTCGGTTTTATATACATTGGCATTTGCATGTGTTGTGCAGCCGGAAAAGGCTCNTTGGTGTAAGTCCATAAATATCCACCCCAAATAAAGATCCGGAGATTTTAAATAGTCGTTTAGAGGATAATATAAATGGCGGGAGCTAGAAGGGCTCGGTTTTATATACATTGGCATTTGCATGTGTTGTGCAGCCGGAAAAGGCTTGGAGTTAAAATGCGGGAATGAATCTCATTTCATTCATGATATGGCATGGTAAATTCCAACATGGAATACCTATATTCTTAATTGGAATGATTACATGGTTATATAATTGTGGATTGTTGCATGTGTACATTCATATGCACTTAGGTTGTGGAGTAGCCTCTATAGGAAGTATTCTATTAGACGTTGGCTCACCCTATACGGGAACACATTTCAGGTGCGGGGTTCGTACCGANATTCTTAATTGGAATGATTACATGGTTATATAATTGTGGATTGTTGCATGTGTACATTCATATGCACTTAGGTTGTGGAGTAGCCTCTATATGAAGTATTCTATTAGACGTTGGCTCACCCTATACGGGAACACATTTCAGGTGCGGGGTTCGTACCGACGGAGGACTCGCGTTCGGGGCCTCAACGTTGAAGAAAAGCCAGGTTGTGGCTTTTGAAAATAAGTTTTTGTAAAACTTGTGTTAAATCTCATTTGACATGTAAATGTATAGAATGGTTTGTAATAGACCTTATATATATTCACTTTTATGTGAAAAACATTGTTAAGTATGTTTTGGATGGGAAGAATAGGCATTGGAATGGGTTGGAAATGAAGAAGGAAGGATTTGTAGAAGAACAAACAAAATCTTCCGGAAGGTCTATAAAAACCCTCCNTATATATTCACTTTTATGTGAAAAACATTGTTAAGTATGTTTTGGATGGGAAGAATAAGTATTGGAATGGGTTGGAAATGAAGAAGGAAGGATTTGTAGAAAAACAAACAAAATCTTCCGGAAGGTCTATAAAAACCCTCCGGAAGATTAATGTAAATTTTTATCCAGACAAAACCTTCTAGAAGGTTGAAGAAAACCTTCCGAAAGGTTAATGTAAATTGTTATCCAGTAGGAAAAACCTTCCGAAAGGTCGATGAAAACCTTCCAGAAGAACTTTTCTAGTGAGTAAAACCTTCCAGAAGGTTTTCCAAAAATCTAAAATTTTAAGAATGCTTTGCCATGCTTTTGGGCTATGCATTCCTTCATTCAAATGATGTCAATGGACCATAATGGAGTATAAATTGTGATGTGTTAGATCTTGGATGAGTCTAGTGACTATGATGTACACAGATTAAGCAATTAGGAGTTTCCGGTCCTAGGGAGACCCTGTCCAAACTTTTTTTTTATAATTGAGCTGTGGTGTTAGGTCATACGACATTCATGGTTATTTCTGCGGGTTGATGGGTGATCAACGGGTTAACACGAGACTCCCGATTTTAGGGGTATCACAGCTTGGTATCATAGCCTAGGTATATAAATTACCTAGGACTTGATGGACATTGGGTCTAGACCATTGCATTCATGTTATGTGTTTAATTGCTACATGTTGTGTGCTACATGCTATGTGAAATATATACATGGTCAAATGTATATGAAAAAGGGAAACACTAGAGTTAGAAAAATATAACCTTGGATTTCGAAAAAAGGGATGAACGATGTAGTTCATGCTGGAAAAGTCTACTAGTATGGGGTATACACACTACTAGTGAGACAAGG